CTAAGTTTACATATGACATCACCTTCTACTCTAAGCTAGCAATTAGCGTACCACAATACTATCTTTATTTCTTGAAAACATCTTGCTAACAATTAAGAACCTTTGGCTCCCATCCCCACACTGATTCATCTTGGGTTGCTTACTGTTATAGAGGGAAAAAGAATTCCTCCACATAAGTCAACAATAAGGACTTGTGTCCTTATGGAGCTGTGAAGTAATTCCTGTATCTCAGTTACATACTTGCATAGATACTCATCTTTGGAAAGGGTTAGGTTGTTCTCCCACTGTGTATTCCTTGTGTCATGATTCAATTTCACTTGAATGACCGGCTCCAACTGAAAGAAAAGTATCAAACCCAGGAGAATTTAAAGCAAAGACAAAGCTAACCACGCGTGGTTGTGTAACCCCTCCACACGTGCTGACACCAGACACAAGCCCTCTTTTCCTGTTAGTGCCATATTGCACAAAGATTTCATGCAAAGTAATGAGTACTTTTGGAGGCGATTCGCAGTGCCCTGCGTACTGAACTGCAGCCACTGGCACAGACCTTTTCCTGTGTGATCCCACACCTGTCAGTAAATTTGCATTCATGATCTTCTATTCTGTGTCTCTTCCAGGACAGTTCACAGCTCTCCCTCCCTGCAGCAAGCCCTGCTCCATGAAAAGGTGCAACCTGTGCAACCAGCTTCCACATCTGCACAAACCAGGGAGGGCACAGGGAAGCTGGTTGTTTCAAAGAGAAACTCAAGGTTTACAAAGCAGCTGCCAATTAGCCAGACCTTAATTTTGTAAATTTATTTAGGAAAAGAAATTTAACATGAGCAAATCAAGTGAGAATACTTCAGTGTTACAACAGAGTATATAAATGTCTAGCAATAGTCAAATAATTTGATCTTTAAATACAAAATAACCACATGAACACCTAATATACAGGTTTCATCTGAATACATATTTATTAGATAAATATTAGGTTGTCACATCATCTAACTACATACAGTTTTGCAAGACTAAAAATCACAATTATTTTTTCTGACCAGTTTAAAATATGAAATGATTGCATTGTACTGTACATACAATGTACAAACAAAGACAATGGCCATTTTTGCATGTAACTTCATATTGTACTTTTTTTTTTTTTAATTCTCCTCTGATCGTGATATCAAAAATTGTACAAAGTATGAATTTGGTTACAATTTCTTTTTTCATCCCCCTATTTTTCTTCATTTTTTTTTTTTTTCGGTAGCACCCTAAAAATACACAGGTGATAGACTAGTACACGTAAGCTAAATATTACATGTAGATAAAACAAAACAAAACAAAGGATCAGAGTATATTACAGAAGTGAAGTGAAACAAATGCCGAGACTCCACAAACGCTAACAAACAGGATTCATTTTCCACATAAGATGGAGCTTCAAGCTTTTTTTTTCCTGCAAAATAAAAACAATGCACATTCCAAGGAAAATGAATGCATTTCTGTTAACATGTCTCTATTTGTCATTTACATATGTACAGCTGTCCCTTGAGTCTCTGCTGCAGACATTGGTGTGTATCTGTCAGTCCTATAATAATGTCCTGGCAGCAGAACTGTAGATCTCTGTGGGTTCTTTCCCAGACGAACTTCCATAGGGAAACAATTAAAAAGTAAACAAACAAAAAAAGAATAAAAATACTACTGGAATTTCATATAATAATTAAGCTTTAAAAGAAATGACTGTGATTACCCTATTTGCTAGGTTTTTTCCTCTAAACTTTAATACGGCAGTGAACAGATAAAAAAATAACTAATTTTTCATTTAGAAGCTTTTTCATACTGACTCCACTATACAGTACCCGATTTTAGCTGACAGATAAGTTTTAAAACTTTCTCAAACATCCAACATTTGGGTGATGGGTAAAAATCCTATTTTCTTTCTTAATTTCTGCTTGGAAACCAAACACTTCTGTAAGCTTAAAAATGTCAACCGCACACTTTAATTCTGCATTACTGTACAAAGCAGATGCAAACACTGCTCCAAACACACTGCTAAAATCTACGGCTTTTTTTTTTTCTTCCCCTTTATGCTTTCCAACAGGTACTTTTAAATGATACATTTGAAATACTACCAGTTAGCAAAAGGTCAGTCCTTAACATACCTGGTTTAAAATACTAATGTTGCATTTCAAAGAAAAATAATTTTAGATGACTTAATTTAGCTGCTCAGGAATCAATGGAGAGTGGAACATCAAATAGAATCAATTAAAAAACTGAGCGGTCAGTTCCAAGTAGTAGTGAGAAGTCTTTATTCCCAAACCTATGGCTTAAGAAACTTCCCCCCCAAACAAAAACCCCAAACTCTAAGGGCATTAAGTCAGTTTATCAATAGCCACCCCGCAAATGACTTCAATACCTATATGAACAATGCAGCAAAAATACAGGGGGAAACTACTACAGTAAAATGGCTACAAAGCACATCTGTAACTGAAGAACGGTCTTTCCTAGGAATTGTGTGATAACAGCACCACACCACAACCACATTACCATGTATTACAGCAAGGTATCTTTAATATTCTGCAGAGATCCTCCACAGGTTGTCAAGCCTACATAATAAAAAAGACACTTCTAAGCAGAATAAAATATACTATACTGTTTCCCTCCCCCACCCACCAACATCTCGAGGTGTCACAGTGCCCCAGTTGCAGAGACTGGCGCACCAGAAGAGTGATATAAATACGGTACCTTACATACTTGCTGCTTGCCTTAGTGCATCTTTACCTGTTCAGACAGCTGGTCCTAGGTGTTCTGCTCACTTGGGCAAACAAACAAAATCGCTGCCATTTCCAGCCCACAGTCACCCACACTCAGTGAACATCGGTCGGTTAGTCAGGACTTTTTTTGCCCTAGGCAATCACTTGCTATTATGTTTCCACAACAGAGCTGGGCCCTGATTGTCTAGATACTGCCTGATATACCAATTCATTCATCACATAAATGGATACAAAATTTGGGCTAATTTACCAAAAGAAGACGGGGAAAAAAACAAAAAGAAAAAACCCCACAACTCCTTTACTCTGTTAAAGAACCCTCAATTTTCTTTTTTAAAAAAGGACCCATATTTTTCTTCAGACAAGGTATTTAAAAACACCAGCAAAAGTATAACCAGATCATGAAAATGTTGAATATTATCAAAGACAATACTAAAATATTCACAAAGATATTTACAATAGCAATTCTTAAAATAATTGATTTTGCATAATGAACAGCGCCTTTCTTAAAAAAACTTGAAACAGGAAAAATATAACTGTGGGACCATCTCTACATAATATGTTTGACAGATTCAATACTTCTACTGGAAAATAAAAGAACTAAACCACCATTTCCTTTAATATCTACAGCAAGGTGCTGCTGACTAGCATATATATATCATGACGCATGTACAGCAGTAGTGGGAAACGTTCACAAGAAGAGCAAAATAAAACAAAAACCGCATAGAATTTACAAATATGCCTTTGGTGAGGAAAGCAAATCGAGAGTTGTAAGCACAGAGCATGCCATTTACAGCACTGCAAACTAAACACAGAGGGCTAAGGAAGCTATCTAACCAAACCAATAGGAACAAACAAAAATTTGCCTGGCACTTCAGTTCAAAATGTATTGTGGTGAACAAACGAAGGGTGTTTGATTACATTTGGGGTGAGGAAAAGGGGTGTGGTCAAATTTGCTTTAGTAACAAAAAAGAAAGGAAACCAATAACTGTACAGTGGGCAAAAGTTGAAATGTTGCACCACGAGGGCAAAGTTGGCACACATGCACTTCTTACACAGCTACTGTACATCTTTTATAAGAGAGAGAAAGAAAGAGAGAGAGAGAGAGAGAGAGACAAAGAGCACAGAAATGGGCACAGAAGCAACAAGAAGCTCATGCAGGAGCAGCAACCACACGAGAAGCACAGATCACACAGGGGCAAGACAGTGATTGTGGCAGCAGGGTTTCTTGAGGGCAGTAGCAATCTACTGAGGGTTACTTATTCTTCCCATGCCCGGTCCTTCAAGAAAAAGAGCTCATCCCGGCAGTCAAAGTTTAAAAAAAAAAGGAAACTCAAGGAGGAGAAAAGAAAATGGCTGAATTACCTGTAACAGTCACGAAAACAGAATGCAAAGCAAAACAAAAATGAACCTGTAAAATGCATGTCCAATGTCAATGCCTGTTCTCAAGCCAATTATTAAAATTAATTATGGAAATTGTGATGTTACTCTCCCTCCATCCTGCAGTGATTTCCTGGCTGCCTTCAACCCAGCTTGTCCTACTATGTATTGGGCAGTACAGACAGACACAGGAAGGCTCGGGGCACCGAAGGCTGTAGGTGATAATTTGGAACAGTTTGGTTTGCATCCCCCCTCCCTCTCTTTTCTATTCCGTATGGCATACATGGCAAAAAGATCTATTACAGCAATCTCAACAGCTGGATGTTAATGCAGCCACAAACTGTACTGATTTTTAACCAAAACCACAAAAGAAAAAAAAAGAAATCACAAAATATTGCCCACATTTCTCCTGTGTGTTTCTAGTCTGTGTGTTTGGCCAGAGGAAGCCTCTGCAAAGAGGTGGTTAAGATTCCTGCACCTGTGGAAATGCCAACACCCACGGCTGCAGCCTGGAGATTCTGAGGACTCCATCACTGAAGTCCCACTAGCTGAACTGCTGCTCTCTCTGACTGGCCTGTGCGCCTTCCCTATCTTTGCCACTTGATTGTAGGATTTGTGCTTTTTTGAACATTGTACATATTTTTGTTTCTCTTTTTGTGTGTGGCCAGGGCAATCACTCCAACGCAAAGTCGTGGTTGGAGGGGGGCAGAGGGGAGGTGTGGTGGAGGGAGAGGAGGGAGATACAGTTTCAAAAAAATGGAAGAACATGCGTTGGAAGGACGCTTTGAGATGGGTCAATTAAAGACAGTTCCATTTTGTTGCCTTTTCTTCCCTTGCCAAAATACTTCACACTATGTTTATCACAGAACTCTCTCTCTAGAGGATGAACAACAAATGGGGTTTCTAATAGCTGCACAACTGTCTATGTTTCTTTGTCACGTGTAGCATGGCAGACTCAGAGATTACTGCATTTATTTATTTTTTGTAATTCTTTTCTCCCGTCACTTTCGCAGTCTTTGAAGCTGACAAAAGCAGTTCTGAGATGAAGAAAGCAGGGAGTGCACCACTGGATCAAGTTGTGAGTTTTTTTTCTTCACTTGGGGAAGAGGAGTGTTAAGATTCCTCGCTGTACAGCCACACACGTGTGAACAAGTGAAAGGGGTGGGAGAATACATATGGTTTCAGTTGTTCTCAAAGAGAGACAGAAGGTCATCATTGCTATTGCTTGGCAAATCAGGAGGATCCAAGTATGAAAGCAGCTCATCCGGATTTGTGAGTTCTGGAAGCAGCTATAAAATATAAAGATAAAAGGAAAATTACAGGTAACAGAAACATAACCGAGGAAAAAAGGGATTAAACACCACACATTCCTGGAAACTGTCTTTCTTATGTATACATACAAATAAACTGGAAGGCAGTGACACAAACTTAACACTCTAAGATGATGCAGTATCCATTTGTTTGCATTTGTTTACAAAGTCTGTATTACTCAGTTTTCTCCTGTGAATTACATTACCATCTCAGTGAGTGTTGCTCAATCAACCTCCCCATTACAAAGTTCATCAATAAGCAAAGTATATTTCTTGGCTAGTGATGCTGACAAAAACTTCTCAATAAATGCTCCTTATGTATGTTAGTTTCATATAAAACACTGAATAAAAACTTCAAATATGCAGTTTGAGTAATACGTATTTAAGCTTTAAGGTAGATCAGTGAAGACCGGACTGACGTGCCCGTGTCAGCATAATGGTCACCCAAAGCCTGTGCTGCTAGAGAAGGAGGCAGCCCTGTCCTTCCCTCACCCCTTGGGCACCACCCAATGCCTCTGTGCACTGAGGTAAGCTCTGGGGCAGTGAGCTGGAGCAGAGAACTCCACAGGAACCCTGGGGAGTTAACACAGCTGGCCCAGACAGACAAAAAGAAAAGAAAAAAAAAAAAAAAGAGAGAAAAAGCCACTGAGAAGGAGTATGAGGAGAAGAGTGGCAGGGCACTGAGTGATTCCTTTTCCTTCCTGTGGCAGTGAGTTTACAGTGGCTGGAAGTACTCACTCAACTACAGCATTACATGCAACTCCAGACACTTTACAGGGTCAAGGGCATAATACCCCATCCAACAGAAGATGCGCTAATCTCCACAACATTTTAACTATCAAAAGTAACAGTTGTGGTTTATTTTATTTTAATTAATACTGTGTTTCAAATAGAAAATTTCAGTTTTCCAGCCATCACTCAGATTCTTTTTGATCTGACAGATAACAAGCAAATCATAACTGCAGGGCTGCGTACCAGGCAATGTTTTCTGCTTTATTCTGCATCTTGCCATATCCTAGACAAAAGTAAAAGTGTCACGTCTAAAAAATGGCAGGGAAAAGTTTGTAATGATCTCCCTTTATATTCAATGTTGTGTTCAAGTAAAGACATAAAAATATGGACTGCTTTAATAAACTTAACAGTAGATATGAGAACATAATTTTAAGTTCTGTATTTTCAAATACTGTAAAACTAAAAGCTTGACTGCATCACACTTAGCATGCAATTATATTTCTGTGCTTCTTAACTCCTGTGCACATGCAGCTTCATCTTCTGATGTTATATGAATGAACATATTTTTCAGTAAGTTAAACATGAAATGCAGAAAGAAGATTTTAACTTCCTAAGTATTTTGAAAAAAATGCAGTGTCAAGTGTACTTAAACAGAATCTCCCAGAAGGTAATGCTTTTCTTAAAATACTGCCTCTTTCGATTCATGGCAAGAATGCTATTGTCACAGTACTAAAGATATAAGGCTTTTAAATGCATTTCACCTGCTATCAGAATTTTTTATGAATACTTAGTACAGAATCCCAAAAGTAAACTGCATCACCACCAAACATGTAGAAAGTAAAAAATAGCTGAATCTGTCTCGTGATTTTACAACTTAAAATTTTAACAGAATGTCTCTGAGACTCATTCTTGTGCACAGAGGTTTTTTCTTTTTTTTTTTTTTCCTTTTTGAAAGGTGAAAGTTTTAAACAGTATGCTCAGTATCTCTGACAGTGATGTCTTCTAAGTTTTGAGGGTGACCTCAGCCTGCCTCAGCCAGAGGGGCCAGGCAGCACAGCCTGCCTCCTGCCCAGCTGGTGTGAACACCAAATCTCTCAGAAAGGAGCTGCTGGGCATTGAGTGTGCTGTGCTGGAGCAGGGCTAAGAGACAGAGGAGTAGTGGGGGCTGCGAGGGCAAAGGGAGGTGGAGGCAGACGCTACAAAAGCATGCCAGACTTAGGGGCAGAATTTGGAGAGGTGCACCCAGTGATCCTGAAGCAAATACTTGAGATGTCTAACCACTCATTTGAGTCCTGTGCCTCTGCTGCCTGAGGTAGAAAGGCAGACCACCTGTATCTCTGTCTGTATCTATACAAGGTATATCCTTTAACCAGGTTAAACCTTAGATTGCATCACACTCAAGTCCCAAAGAACGAATATGACCGTGTCAGCAGGGAGTGGACCAAGTTGCCCACGATGCAGTGCCCTATCTGGTTTGCTGCATGGGGCTTTATTCAGGCTGGTTCCACCACAGAGCCACTGAAAGTTAAAACCCTTAAAATAATCCATCTGATCATCACTGAGCTCAGAGATATTTCAAAGAACTATACTCTCCACACTGGATAGCACTTGCCTTCTCATTTAGGTAAGATAATTTCAGTCTCCAATTAAGAATCCAGAATGCCTCCAACAGTGATAACCACAGTACTGTGATAAATGTACAAGTTTTTCTACTTTGATTTTCACCAACAAATGAGTGCCCGGCAGCATACTTTCTGCTGCTTAAATGTTTGAAGGAAAAACTGCAACTTTTATTTCATCTATTAATATTGCTCATACGGGGTCCTTAAGGGTTCAGACCTTTAATTGCCACATGAACTACTATTCCCAAAGATGTGCACATGACTGTGTTGTGTGAAACAGCAGCAGTCTGGTTCAAATAGAAGTTACTCCACTGTGAGCACTGTTCCTGTAACTGGAGTTCTAACCCCCCTTCCTGCCCTCTGTGAGGCTACCTGCTGGCAGAGCGCTTGCATGTGACAGGGAACACGTTAAGGATACAGCAACAGTAAATACAGATATAAGTCCAAAGCACAGTGGTGAACATTTCTCTGAGAAAATTACACTGCACAGCAGCAGACTTTGGAACAGACAGAAGATACACATACGGGAAAGCACGACTTGAATGAAAATCCAATCCTAGTGCTAAGGAATTTCTGTTTTGGGACACAGGAGGTTAAACAGAGAGATACTCAGATAATTCAGTTCCGACTCCACTGAACGGGTGGTGAGAGACAGAAGATTACTTTTGGCCTTAGAACTAGGTTCACCTTTGTTTAGTTGTGAGCTGTCTCCCACAGCGGCTAAGGAGGCAGAAGATGTCCTTGTTTGTTTCCCAGGTGGCATACTGGGATGAAGAACCTGCAGTGCTGGGCTATTCACACAAGCGGGTATGGATGGCACACCCGGGTTTTGGCTGCAGGGAGCAGGGACAGAGCCAGGGGGTGGGCCAGCACAGATCCTCCTCCTGCTGGCCAGGGCACGCTGCAGGGAGCGGCGTGCAGCTCACTGGGCCCAGCTCGCCACGGCCAGAACCACACAGGGCCCCATCCTTCCTCTTACTCAGGCGCGCGATGGCCCTGAGGATGAGCACAAAGGAGCCCCTGTCCGGCGCTGAAGGGGACAGGAGGAGATGGTTCCCAGCCTGGCGCGCGAGCTGCTGTCTGGAGAACCGCCCGCCTTGGCGCTCAGAGGCTACGGCTCGTGTGCCACACAGCTGCTCAAAGCAGAACCGCTGTCCCAGCGAGCTGGGAGTGCTGTCACCTCGGCAGCAGCACCTGCGCCCATGACCCAAAGCATGACAGGATGGCATGTGCTGTGGAAGCGGCTCCCATCCCCGCGCCCGCCCGCCC